ACTACCTCAAGGGTCAATTTACACCGAGTTCCTATTACAACCCTGCCGCCGCTCGTCATATCGATCGCTCGTCTGATCCAAACGATCGCATCCCCCGGGAATCTGACGAGTTCATCGGCGCCCCGTTTGACGGCGCTGCCATCCTAAACCGCATCGAACAGACCAAGTCCCCGGGCGGACAGCACGCCCACGCCTTCCACCGGCCTCACGTCCCCCCGCCTCTTATCAAGTCTAAGACAGACATCCGCGGCATGAGCCCGGCCCTCCGACAATCAGCAAGCTTCACCTCGGCCGATCCCATCATGTCCGAGAAACTGCAGGCAAGTCGGGCGATGGACCAACAAGTCGTCACCCCCAAAAGATTCTCAGACGAAGCAAAGGAGCCCAGGGTGGGCGTCCTTCGCAAAAAGTCGGGCTTCTCTGGTTTTGTCAACAGTCTCGTTGGGTCTCAGAAGAAACCCATCATCTCCGCTCCCGAAAATCCCGTCCATGTCACGCATGTGGGCTATGATAGCACAACCGGGCAGTTCACCGTACGTTACCACCTCTATCTTGTACCCGCTCAGCTGGCGATGTTAACAGCATGCAGGGTCTCCCGAAAGAATGGCAGCGACTCATCAACGAGAGTGGCATCCCCGAAAAGGAGAGGCGAGAGAACCCCCAAACTATGGTGGATATCCTCAACTTCTACAAGGAGACGACAGAACGACCGCCTGAAGACCAGGTCCTGGACAAATTCCACGATGCGCGTGCCCCCGCATATGGCCAATACGCCGCCAGTCCCGGCCCGGGAAGTGCATTGTCGCCAGGCGCGTATCCGACAGCGAATTATATGGGTATGTCACCGCCGAATTCTCCTCTTCCAAGTCCTAGATTTCCAACTGTCAACCATGAAGGATCCTTCGAAAACCCCAGGCAGCCGCCTCCCGTACCCGGTCGCGGGCTCGGTCCGGGCAAGGACGTCAACATGATGCCTAGCCGGCCTGCACCAAGGCCACCGGTGAGCTTAACGTCGCGCGTTGCAACCCAAGCACCGCAGACAGCCAAGGACTCAGGCATCGGCATGGCCCAGGCGGCAGAGGACCTACCGGCCGCCGCCTACGTTCCTCCCAAAGAACACACCTCGATGCTACCCGAGGAGCACCGATCGAGATCACGATCAAACTCCAAGATCAATGGGACTTCGCCGCTCATGCCCTCCACGCCGCAGCCACAGGGGCTCGCATCTCCGCCACCATCAGCGCAAGCCATGGCGTACCAGCAGCAGCTACTGCAACAACAGCAGGAGCAGGCCTTGGCTCAGGCGCAAGCTGCCATGTCTGGCCAGGTTGGGCGTGCCCCTAGCAAACGACAACCTCCGAGTCTCCAGCAGCCCATCCAGAGCCCTCAAGCCGCTCAACAGCAATATCCTCAAGCCGCTGGCGCACCTGGTCCTCAGGGTCAACAGCGATCGAATGTCGGCATTCCTGGCCAGCCAGGCTCAAGACCGCGCCACCGAGCCCGACCCAGCAACGGTATTGATATTGTGGCCGCCCTGAAGCGCATCTGTACCGATGGGGACCCGCGCGAGGTGTACCGCAGCCTTAACAAGATTGGCCAGGGCGCTTCTGGTGGTGTCTTTACCGGACACGAGCGCGGTACGAACCGCCTTGTCGCCATCAAGCAGATGAACTTGGAACAACAGCCCAAGAAGGACCTAATCATTAACGAGATTTTGGTTATGAAGGAAAGTTCGCATCCCAACATCGTTAACTTCATCGACAGCTATCTTGCTGGCGGCGAACTTTGGGTCGTCATGGAATATATGGAGGGAGGAAGTTTGACCGATGTTGTTACGTTCAACATGATGACGGAGGGACAGATCGCCTCGGTGTGCAGGGAGACATTGAAGGGTCTTCAACACCTGCACTCAAAGGGCGTTATCCACCGCGACATCAAGTCGGACAACATCCTCCTCTCCCTCGAGGGCAACATCAAGCTGAGTAAGTTTTGAATTTCGTCGCCAGGATCCTTCATGTACTCATTCTCTACAGCTGATTTCGGTTTCTGCGCCACTATCAATGAGGCTCAGAACAAGCGGACAACCATGGTCGGCACTCCTTACTGGATGGCTCCCGAGGTCGTTACCAGGAAAGAGTACGGACGCAGGTCGACATTTGTCGCTCGGCATCA